AAACTTCAAACCCATCAGACGGTATTGTCCCTGTGAAGTTAATTGAAGTGACATAGGCTGTGATTTAGAACTATAGAAATAAAAAAAATAAAATTAAATAACATTTTTTGGATTTTAATGGAGGAACATTTAACATGGATATAGTTTACTGCGTAAATTGATCATAATGATGCTTATTTAAACATCTGTTCTTAACTATTTATAAAGAAAAATTCACAGAAGCTAATTTCATTAAAATATAGAATGGCATGTATGATGAGTACACATGGTTCAGGTTTGATTTAATAAACACAATTATACTTAGTAAAAGACGCATGTTATTGTAAACAAACACTTAGCAAGAAACATGGAAATGAACCTTCTGAATAGGAGAACTATGCTCATTGACCACAACAGGGTCTATTTTCACAGTATTTACATGTTAATATCATGTGTGTTTTTATCGTATGTCATCAGGCTAATATTGAGATGCTTTTGCTGAAACTGTCAGAATGTTTGATACCAGCAGGCGTAGCCTGTAAATGTGGTTAGTGTTGGATTGGAGTTTGGTTTCGCTGCATCATCCTGTTCTGTTTTATGCTGAAGAAGTGATATTGCCTAAATCTCATAAAACCAGAGTAGTAGCAGCAACAGAAAAACACGCGATGTGTTGCTGTGCAAAACAGAATGAAACTGCAACTTCAGATCAGTATAAAACCGTAAAGATGATTAGATTGGTGGCACTTTAATTACATGTCATGATCTTTTTGGTTCGTTTCTTTTTTTTTTTTTTTTCATTTTAGGTTTTCAGTTACTGTTTGCTTTATTTCATGTTCTTCTGTGTTGGTGTCAAGATTTATATCATTTTTGATTTGTTAGTTTTTCCCTATTTATTTTTTCCAGCTATCTTAGAAGCATTGCTTAGCAGCGGAGGCCAACTCTACTTTTCTGTTTGCAAACAGGAAGAACATTTATTTTTGGTTGGTTTTTTATTTTATATTGTAAAAATGCTTTTTGGCAATACATCTTATTGTTCATAATAAAAAGTGTCTCCCATCCACTTAACTGAGTCCAGCGGGGCGTCATAGAGCTGGCCTTTCTGTTGAGCTAATATAAACCCTTCCTCTCAGCTACAGACAGGCAGCTGCTCCAACAAACTACACCACAGAAGATGCTCCGAAATATTTCAACTTCTTCAGCAGCTAAACTACATTTTGCCATCAAAGTGGAAGAGCTCACAGATGTGCTGCAGGGGAAGAACTAAACCCTTTTCCAGTTTTTCAGTGAAATTGAGGAAATGCCTCCCTTCATCTGCTCTATCACCCTATCCTATGCTGGGAAGGTTCCCAGTCATACCTTCAACAGCCGACACATAGGATCTGGGTTCTTAAACCCACTGATGTTAAGGTTAGGGCTAAAATAACTACATTTAACTTTTATAAATGTTTTAGATGCATTTTCTAAATGATTATCACATTAATAAAGTATCTGTTAATCATTAATAAATCATCTCTATCATGTATAAATGATAGTTTCGTAAAGTGTCAATAGTTATTTTTTAAATTTGTAGGCAAACAGCTTTCAGTTCATTTATCTCGTCATAAATGCAGGTTTCCAATTTTTGGCTTAAAGTTTACAGAAAAACCTGTATTTTGTTTTGTATATAGTTTAGTACTTATGCTACCTACCTCTCTGTAACATAGTTATCGTCTATTTACAGTCACTATAGCCTACTCAGATTTCTGTTTACAGGTGTTTTTCTGCATCATTACTCTATTGTTATTCGTTGAACTTTGCTTCTGGTTACACTATAAAATTCACACGCTATGTTTTATTTATCTAACCATGATTTCCTTTTAAATATGTCATTTACGTGATTCAAGAAAAATATCTGAAACATCCTGCATTGTTTGTGTTTATATATTTAGAGGGAAGGAGAAATGTTGGAGTTCTATTAAGCATAAAAAATAAGCTTTAAATTGTCCTTAATTGAAAGATGATTGTTAATTCTGTTTATGTTCTTTGCCCAATAAAACCACACTGCAAAAACAGTCTAGAAATAAGTATAAAAATCGAGCGTATTCAGCCTTAATTTGAGCAAATAACTAAGATGATTTGTTTTACTCTTCAAATAAGATAATTAGATAATAAGTAGTCAGGTTAACTTATTGTTTAGGGTTGTTTTTCTTCTTGTGAATGTGGCTGAGTGGGAATAGGCTTGGGTGGCGACTTGGGGTTAAATGCCTTGCCCAGGGGCACGTAGTGTTTATGGTGAGATGATTGTTTGACATCAGTAGAAAACAGGATATTCTTTTATTTACCTAAAGGCGAATAAAGTCACATGTTAAATATGAACCTGTGGAGAATTAAAGGAGTGGAATCACAATAATGTTGTTTATGAACGTTCTCATTTATTAGCAAATATTCATGAGAAGAATATTCTGGAACATTAGCTTAACATGAACTAAAGTAGCTCTGCTGCCCACTAATGCTCATCAAATATTTTTAAAACTACAGTTTTTCTCCTTTCTCATGAAAATCACAGCTCTTTCTGAATTGTAATGTTTTTAGTGGGTTTGGTTAAAAGACCAAAGAGACATTAAAACTATTAAACCTTTTATGTTTGACAATTTAACATGTTAAAGTTAAATGTTAATGAGTCTGTCTAAAAGTCATAAGAAGCTGGTACCCCAATCAAACAGCTGCAGCTCCTCCAAAGGTTGGTAGTAATGAGGCGTTAGATGTTTCTTCCAGTCTATCCATCTCCTATCCCAGCCTGAAGACTGAGGCCGACCGCCTGGAAGGGATCCTGCTGCATGTTTGTCGAAGCAAATCCCTAAAATCTGCACACAGACTCTCCAGCAGCTGCCCTCTCCTGACTGATTCAGGGATCCTGGAGGTCTCCGGTGTTTTAAAAATGGAGACTTTGCACTCTCCACAGCTGAGGGGCTTCCCAGTCACCCTAAAGTGGAGCAAAAATTCAATAAGCAAAGGAACGGATTGGAGAAGCAGTTACAGCAGGTTAAATAAGCTTTGAACGCCACATAATGGTTCTCAGTTAATGTATTTCTAGAGGTGCTGTTGACACTTTCACCAAATGTCAGTAACAATCCATACAATCCACACATAGAAAGAAATCGCACCAAATATGTCCAGAAATTAAGTTATTTAGGAAATAAAACAGGGAAAAAATATTGAACAAAAAGACATGAAAGCCAAGACAAAAGCTGAAATCTCTCAGTGATAAGAAGCAATGCTGCTCCTTATCACAGCAAATTAACATCAGCTGGTTCAGTCCCAGATTATGGCCTATATGAATGAATCTCTAGTATCAACATCTCATCATGGGTCAAAGTAAGGAGCTTTTTCAAGAGCTTTGAACCTTAATGATGGCATCGGTTCCAGAAGGATTTCTAAACTTCTGAATGTTCCAGTGAGCAATGTTGGAGCCATTATCTAGAAATACAAAAATCAGTTCCCCTTAAACCGACCAGGACCAGGTGCTCCTCACAAGGTTCCTGACAGAGGAGGGAAAAGAATGATCAGAGGAGTTGATCAACAGCCAACGACCTCTAGAGCTTCAGAAAGACCTGGAATCAGCAGGAACAATTGTTTCAAAGAAAATAATCAGTAATGCAGTCGGCCGCCATGGCCTGCAGCAATCTCACCACGCAGGACTCCACTGCTGAAGGAAAAGCTGCTGAAGCTTGTTTAAAGGTTGCTAAACCTGTGATTTACTGGGAGAGTATAGTTCAATTAAATTTTTCAATTCAATTCAGTTTATTTCTATAGCGCCAAATTCACAACACATCTCATCTCAAGGCACTTTACAGTTCAACCAGATCATCCAATCAGATTGATTCAATGTTTTCTATCTAAGGAAAACCAGTTGATTGCATCGACTCATTGACTCTTCAGCAATCCCTCACACTAAGCATGCTTGTAGCGACGGTGGAGAGAAAAACTCCCTTTGAACAGGAAGAAACCTCCAGCAGAACCAGGCTCAGTGTGAGCGGCCATCTGCCGAGGCCCACTGGGGTTCAAGGAGACAGAAGCAGACAGAAAAAGAAGCATAGGTACAAAACGCAGCTCCACAGGCGGCCCCGTCCAGGAAACACACAGCCAGGCAGACGAGCTCCGAGCCAGCTCCCATGTCAGAGGATGAAGAGAGCACATCCAGTTAGTCACAGTGAGAGAAACAGGACCACACTGAAAAACAGGCCAAGCTCCAACATCTAGAAACAAAGGTGTTGATGGCAGCAGCACAGCTGATATTTCTCTCCAGGATGGAGTCACAGCCAAACAGGAACAGACCAGATGAAGCTACTATGAGAAAAAGCAGAGAGAGCAGAACGTTAGAGATTGAAGTAACAGATTCTGCAGAGTGGGAGAATAGAGATAGAATGAAGCAGGATGATGAAATGGGGGTCCCTATGTCCTCCAGCAGTCTAAGCCTATAGCAGCATAACTATAGAGATAGCTCAGGATAGTAGTATAGTCTGCTCAGATGAGACCTACGCTGCTTTGGTTGCCATAATACACATCATGTTTGGAGGTCAAAGGGCTCTGCACACCACCCCAAAACACCATAGCAACAGTGAAGGTTGGAGGTGGGAGCTTAATGGTGTGGGGATGTTTTTCAGCATATGGCTCTGGTTAACTTCACATAACTGAAGGCAGGATGAATGGAAAAATGTACAGAGACATTCTGGATAAAACCTGCTGCCATCTACCAAGATGATGTAGATGAAACGTTGGTGGACATTTCAGCGAGACAATGAACCCAAACACACAGCCAAGGAAACTCTCCACTGGTTTCAGGGAAAGAAATAAAGCTGCTAGAATGGCCCAGCCAATCAGCTGACTGGAATCTAATAGAAAATCTATGGAAAGAACTAAAGGTCAGAGTTCATAGAAGAGGAACACAAAACATTCAACATTTGAGGACTGTTTGTGTGGAAGAATGGGCCAAAATCACACCTGATCAATGCACGCCACTCATTTCTCCATCCAGGAGCTGCCAATGCCAACTAAGGCTTTTCTACAAAGTATTAAATACATTTCAGCAAAATATGTTCAACATTTTCTCCCTGTGCCATTCCACATTATTGCACCATAACTTAACTTCTGGACATCTATAGTTTGATTTCTTTGTATGTGTTGATTATTACTAACGTCCGGTGAAAATGTCAACAGCATCTATAGAAATAGATTCTGAAAAATGCTTATTTCACTGCTGCAACCAAACCTCCATCACTTCATCCCACTGCCTGGTTAAATGCTTGACGAAGTTTAGAGCGTCTGCACAGCCAGATTTCCCACACTGCTCCGATTAATATCATTATAATGGAGAGACTATGACAACAACCCAACCACGAATCAACCCCCCCACCCTGCAGAGTCAGCCAAAATATCAGGAACTTTAGGGAAAGGAGGCACGGAGGACAAAGGCTGCAAACAGGGTTCCATGTGGTCCGTTGAGCATAATCCAGCCTTAAACCCGCATCCTGATCCTCAAACAGCCAGCAGCGCCCGAACCACCAGCACAGAGAGCAGACTTAGAGACGCTTTGCTGCTAGCTAGTGCTTTATTCTGGCAGGAGCACTGTGTCCAACCATAGGAATCTCCGTCCTGCCTGTACTTAGGCTGATGTCTGTCCCTCCTGCTACCTCCTGGGTCCTCCTCCTGCTGCTCCTTCCTCCTTGTTTCCTGAAGCTCAGGTCTTCCAGCAGGAGGAGACAGAGACAGAGAGAAGTCGTCCGCTTCGGACGGGGACTGATGGTCAGCGCAGTCCAACCAGTCTGCAGCGGAGGATCGTGGGTAACCCTCCTGTGCTGCAGAGCCTGGAGACAAGAACCTCCAGTAGGAATCTCCTTTGAAGAAATAAATAGAACCTACATGTGGGAGAAGAAGGTTGACCTCATCAATTCCAAGATGAAAACCAAAGTTTTCTTTTTAAATGATTTGTCCATTAATTGTATCTGTAGATCTTGAGACTGCAGAGGTCCCGGTGGTTAGAGTAGATAGTCAGGACCCAACAACTCACCATCACTGTCGGCGGTGATGCCGCTCACACCATCCTGGAGAAGCCGACTCCATTCGTCTTCCTGTCCTTCTCCCACAGTCCCCCACACAGGCCCCTCCTCTGGGTCCCACACCAGGCCCCGCCTTCCTGAGCCGGTCTCATAAGCCCCACCCATGCGGAGGGCTGTCAGGGGCTTCGGGTAGCCTTCCTGCAGGGCCAGGTCCCTGAAGAGCCAGAACTGGGAGCCTACAGGGACACAAAGGAAAGCGAGGTCATACGGGAGACTCTGCTGGAGACGGATCTTCTTCTTTCATCATCAGCTGCAGCTTCCTCTGAACCTTTAAACATTATCTCTAAAACCACTAAACCAACCCATGTCTCTAAATATAGATATAATAACAACTGATCTGATCGATATGGATCTATACAGTGACCTATGAGAACATGTTGAGAATTGAGACCATAGAAATAAACTGAATAGAACTGGCTGCCAACCATCTTAAAATAATAATTTTTTTAAGATGGTTGTAGAGCGGCTAACCTGCAGACCAAAGCGAACCCTGGATGCCCTCCTACCTCGCCTTAACGGATCTTCACTGATTCCCATCATCACAGCAATAAATAAGGGTTAAAACCAGAAACACATATGGAGATGATGGCTGTGAAGATGTTTTAGATCTAGGGAGCCTGCTAGCTTCTACTGTCAAAGGAACTACAGGGGATGTGTTCACTGTCTGTGGGAACGGTGAGTCTGGAGTGGATTTGGTCGTCATTAAGACCAGAGATGGATCAGATTTCCCACAGGTCTGCAACAGACACCACTGCCAGCTACACGGGATGTTGGAGCAGCCTGATGTACCGCTGATGAAGATGATGGCGTGATCAGAGTGTCTCTCCAGCACCGCGTCGAGACGCGGCAGATCAGGAGGCAGACCTCTCCACAGCCTCCTGACTGAAGCTCCTCGCCTGGAGACCAAACCCCCACTGGTGACTCTCCACACGGTCAGCCCTGGAGTGGCAGAAGCAGACACACAGTGGATCATTTCAGATGTTAGAAAGACTTCCTCCATCATCATCAGCATCATCATCATCACCACCATCATCATCCTCAATAAAGCTTATGACTGAAAGAAGCTCAACCAGAAGGCCGGCTCTGTTCCAGGAACTCCTCTAGAACCTCTGGAGATGAAGAAGATGATGGACAGCAGTGAGCATCCTCTTCATCAGACCGTCTTCAGTCGAATGTTCTCCAGATCTACAGTCATCAACCTCTACATTAACTCATCAAAGAAGCTACAAAAGTTTGCTTTACAATATTGAATTCCCCTTTTCGAGTAACAAAGGATTTTTTTTAATCAAAAGTTGTTGTTTTTGTTTCTTTTTTTGGCAGCTTTCATGGCTGCTTCTTCTCCTTATTTTGCTTTTATTTCTCACGTTCAGATAAAAAAGTCCATAAAATAACCCGTTAAAAGAGACGAAGGATTTTTCTGTCCTGCTTGTTTTTGCTGTGGATGTTTCCAGAAGCCCATCTGATCATCTAATATCCATGTAAATCAGGACTCATTTTCTGCCTTGCTCTCCATCCATGTTCTGCTGTCAGGGTCCTGGGGTTTCAGTGTGATCATTTTTTCCTCCACCAGAGGTCGCCAGCTCCACCTGATTCTGAGCCCTCATGTTCTCCCTGAACGGCTATGGCATGAAGTTTGTTCCATTATTGTGGCAGCAGAGAACATGGTTTGTAAATAGAAAAAAAAAAATCACAAAGAACTTCTTTCTGTTTAATTTTTTGAGTTTTATTTTTTTTCAAACTTTTTTTTTCTAATTTCATTTATTTAAAGTTATTGTTTTACAAATTACAGTCTTTTCTAATTACATTATACAGATCAAATTCTCTACACTTCCAGGGTTTTGGACAGAATGCAATCCATAAAACTCAATCTGAAGAAGAAAAAAAATTAAATAAAATTAGAGAAAACAGCAAAGTTCATTTTAAAACCTTATTTTGAATTCGACATTTTTTTAAAGTTTCATTTCTGGATGCATGTTTTTTATTCCACTGATGAAATAAAATGTTTACTTTGCAGCAGCAGTGATGGAATAAAAAGCAACTGCATAGGAGGAGCAGGCTGCCAGCTCGTCAGTGCTGACCTATTGACCCCTGCCTGAGGTGAAGGGAAACCCCCTTAAGTCCTTGTGGTTTGGATACTTTTGAAGTTATTTTTTCTGCTGTTTGATCTACTCTGTGTTTCTCATTCTTTACGGAGGAGCAGTTTATGGAGGAGCAGATGAAGCTTCATGAAGCACTGAGGCCTTCCAGGCCAAAGCCTCATTACTCCATTCATTCAGCGCTGTCTGGGGACACCTGCTGCTGCTGCAATGGTACTACGCCCCCTGAAATATGAATCAAATATATTCTTCTGTTCTGATGTTGAAGGAGGCGGTCGCATTGTCCGGCTGCTCCTGTTCCTCCCTGCCTGTCCCTGTGTGTCTTGTATTTTCAGAGCTTCTCTCTTCACCTCAACTTAAAAAAAAATGGATCTGGTCAGCTGGTCTCTCAAAGCAATTGATCAAATTTATTCGACTGAAAGACGGGGAAAGGGGACCCGTCCTGTCCTGCTAGGACATACTTCGTGGGATACACCATGGATTCCTGGAAAGCGTGGAGGATAGTGTGTTTCACAATGCTGTGAGTGGAGCATGTCGAAGACGCATGGATTTTTCGGATTTATGATGCTCTGTTTTCTCCTGTTTGGATTTGGAGAATACCTGATGTATCTACAGTTACAGAGGATTTCGCGGCAATGTGGGAATTGATCAGGCTGTCGGCAGCGGCTGACGTCCTCACAAAGGCTGTGAAAGGCTGGCTGCGGTGGTTGTAGTCAAAGGTGAGATGTGATAATATCTTGGATGTGTACGCTTGCTTCAGGGCGGAAAAGCCCAACAAATTAAGAATATTGGATTCTCCACGAAGAGCCAGCAAGAAAAAGACTCACAGCTGATGGAACATTTCTGTGCAGCCTGCTCTCAAAACAATAAGTGTTATTTTGGATTCAAACTCCTTATCAAGACTGCCCTGGATGTTAACGCCGAAGGACCCAGAAGAACTGCTCCCCCCTCCTCTACCTGTTAACACCTGTGGATTGACTTTTACGTGGCTCCAGCCTCCGATATTTTCATTCTGATGAAATGTTTGTCTCCTGTTGTGCTTTTCTTGTGCTGAGGTTTTTCTCATATTTCAAACTGTATCCTGACAAGGATGAGGCTCCTATCTTTCTTAGAGATAAAGGCAGCCCTACAGGGAACCGCCGTTCCTAATGCTGCCTAATGGCAGCCATAGGAACAGCAGCGTTCTGCGGCACACATGGCCTCAGTAAATCGTTCCCCCTGCTCCCTGTATTTATTTTAAATACATTTCAAATAAAATGGCTATTCAAATAAATTAATGTCATTGAAAGTTATATATTTTTAAATAAAAATAATTACCAACAGTGAAGTTAGACAGGTGTTTTTAGGGGTCAGACTGTGTTTTTGTGGATAGTGTCCCTGACAGCATTACGTTTGTAACCAATAAAACATTTAAATACAGACTACAGACATGTTACAATGATGATTGGTTATAAATGTTCAGTTTGGTTTTCCAGGGCAGCCATAACCCTGCTATGTGTTGGTGAACACATCAGTCACTACCTTCAGTTCTCCATAATCCACTCTTTAAAGCCTCTGCCTCCCGGGAGCCTGATGGTGGGACATCTAAACACAACATTTCATCTCTGAAAGGAGCAATAGTTGCTTCCAACATCACCGATGAAGCAATGAATACTTTCCAACCTTTGAAGAAGAACGTCTCTCCTCGGATCTTTGCCACGGCATCAAAACTGGTGTTACAGCGATCGACGGGAGGACTGGGGGAGAACAATGGAAGAGTTTGCTTTGGTGGCTGGAATCAAATGACTTTCACAGAAAGCAAAGAATTATTTCTTTATCATAATGATGCCGTCTGACTCTGAGGCACAGTGAACCAATCACTGAAGCAGTTTAGATCAGTTACTATTTTACTGTCAGAAGTACAGAGCAACAAAATGAACTCATTTAACCCATCCCCTTAGGGAGCAGTGTGGGGTTAAGGGTCTTGCTCAGGGACCCAGAGTGGCAGTCTGTGGGAGTGGGGCTCAAACTCAGGATCTCTGGATTCCTAGCTCTATGCCCTAACCACTAGGCCTCCACTCCCCTCGGTACTGGTCTGCCCCATCATCAGGGATTCCGCAGATTCCTGGTCTCCTTGAAAACGTTGATCAAACTGAGCAGGATTATCCATTGGTGTGAACTGAAGGCATCTCCTCCAGCTGGAAGAGGAGATTATTCTTCATCCCTCCACCACCAAGCCTCACAGATGTTTCTGTGGGTTTCCTGCCATCATGGCCAGTCTGACTCAGGCCCGCCGTTTGTCCTTTCATTCTCTCAGAGTGGTGAATGGGAGGATCTACTGAGCCAATTTCTTACCCTTCTCTATCAAAAACAAGGTTCTCCACCTTCGACTTTACTGAGGATTTGTGAAGTCAGGAATCTGAGTTGGAAGCATTTTCTTGCAAGATAATATTAAATGTAATCTAACGTCCTTTGGACGGAGAGAATATAAAACCTCTGACTTAATCATCCTAAACACAACATTTATACTCTTCAAAAATCCAAGCACACTCTCTCTCTCATCTCCTGCATAAATAAACTTTCTCACAACTTGAACAAAAGAAGGAAAACAACTCAATTCATCAAAGACATAAATGTGGCCAGATAAACATTTCAGATAACTGTTTTCTGTTCACACCAGAAAAAGGATGTGAGAACATTGAACACAGTAAGATTGTGATTATCTATATTTTCCTGCTTGTCTAAACTAGGGAGGAATCTGCTTCTTGCTTCAACTCCCTACATCTCAGCATTAAAAATGGAACAATGTTACTTTTATTGAATTAAGAAAAGCTGATATTTAATTTCACAGACTGCAAGGATGGAGACGCTGGGGCCGTCTGGGACCAGCTTCAGACGCACTAAGGAGTTGAACTTAGGAAGCACCACCAGAAGCAGAGTTAAAGTTGGAAGGATTTTGCAGGCATGACTCCATGCTGTGAAGGTCTCCTAGTTAGTGTTTGTTGTGCCTACCTATTTCTGTGCTGCTGGTGGTGGTGCTGGTGGTGGTGGTGGTGCTGGTGGTGATGCGGCTGAGGCTCCGCTGTAAGGCCCGGAGCATCAGTAGGTAGGAGCTGCTTCCTTTGACCTAAAGCAGAAATCAAAACATTATCTATTTTATGTTCTGCTGTGTTCACATAACAGAACATGGAAACTATTCCAATAAACAAAAACACACAGCAATCCCCGTCAACAGCTCCTATAAACCCAGTTAAAGCAACATGTTCAGCTGCAGGCGCAGCGTGGCCGCATCCCAGCAGCTGTCTGACCCTGCAGAGCCTTCAGGGTATTCTGGGACAGGAAACGGTGCAGACACGTCCCTTACTGTGATCCTCTGATGCTTTACAAAACAGGAAACAAATAAGCCTCCATTTCTCTGCTCTGCCTTTATAACCCAGCAGCCAACAGATTCTCTACTTTCTGGGATTAAATCTGTTTTTCTTTTCCTACCGCTGTTAGACACAAGCTCTGATTTGTACATATAATTTCCATACATACATAGAAAACTATGGATAGCAATGCTAATTCTGACACAGAGACGTTAAATTTCTACAACTGCACACATAATGGAGCTCAACCCTGTAATTATGAGCTTGTTTCCCCGGAGTGCAGAGAGACACTGAGGAGAGTTAATGTTCAAAGCAGACCGACTGAGTGGTGGCGTGACAGCAATCAGGTGAAAGTAGGGCCAATGACAGACCAGTGTTAGCTTATGTGCTAACGACATATTTATACTGAATGTTTTGGATTCGTTTGTCAAACAAGGAATTAGTTATTGTAATAGATTGCAATGATTTCACTGAACTCTTAAAGCCTTAAACTGTCACTTCTGACCGCGCGAAGTGTATGAGAAGAACAGAAAGGCCTCAAAAGAGGCAGATATATCCCAGAATGCTTTGCGTAGAGAGCTCTCCTCGCAAAGCATTATGGGATATGCTGTCCAAGTGGCCCGAAGTCGCCATAGGCTGTCCCTACCCAACAGCGGCGACTAATAACAAAGATGGCGCAGGCACCGCGCGGTGGAGGAGGAGTCACGTGACCAACGGAGCTAAAAGTAGTGATCATCTGTCTGAAAGGTCAGTTAACCAAGTTCACTATAAAGTTCACTATATAGTCCCCGCTGTATGTGGACACAGTAAACCTGTGAGCTATGAGAACAGCACATTTTAAACAGAGGGTGGACGAGGAGAAATGGGCTCTTACATGCTAATTTTTTTTTTTTTAAGTGGAGAGGGCGGGTATTTTAATAACTCCTCCATAATACCTTCAAATCTGCCACCCTTATTCCAGTCTCAAAGAAGCCTCAGGTCACCTCACTCAATGATTAGCGGCCTGTCGCACTGACTCCCATCATTGTGAAGGGCTTCGATAGGCTGGTTAAAGAACACATCGTCTCCAGTTTGTCGCCAACATTCAACCTGTTCCAGTTTGTCTACCGACGGAACCGCTCCACTGAGGACGCCATCTCTGCTGCTCTCTACCGGAGCCTGGCACACCTGGAGGAGAAGAACACCCAGGTGCGGATGCTGTTCCTGGACTTCAGTTCAGCTTTCAACACCATCATCCCACAGCATCTGATGGGCAAACTGGAACAGCTGGGCTTCAATACACCCCTTCAAAATTGGATGCTAGTCTTCCTCACCAACAGACCTCAGTCAGTCCGGGTCGGACAGAACACCTCTGATGTCATCAGTCTAAGCACAGGCTCCCCTCAGGGCTGCGTCCTGAGCCCCCTGCTGTTCACCCTGATGACACATGACTGCGTCCCCAGGTTCACCACCAATCACACGGTGAAGTTTGCAGACGACCCCACGGTGGTGGGCCTCATCAGAGACGACAACGACCTGGACTACAGAGAGGAGGTGGAGCTGCTGGTGGTGCAGAGATAACAGCCTGATCCTGAACGTGGAGAAGATGAAGGAGATCATGGTGGACTTCAGGCGCATACTTTGACAAAAGAACAATCTTCCCTTCAAACACCAGACGTCATTTAGACGTTTGTAGTTAGGCTGAATCTGGTTACTCCGTCATCTTCTGGATTTAGTCCAGGTATTGAAAATGGAGCTGTGTTTGGTCGGTCTGATTTTGTCCCACTTTAGTCCAATAAAAGAGGCTGAAAAGACGTTACAAACCCAATTGAAAACCGATGTTCTTGTCCCTGAGCCTTACCGTAGAGTTGGATTATGTGCTCCAGGTCCTGCTGCCCCAGGCGGTAGTGCAGAGGGTCTCCAACAGGACCATGGTAGTAGGGCCTCATCACGGAGTGGCGGGATGAGGAGTGAGCCAGGCCCAGGGCATGACCAAACTCATGGACCAAGACCGTGAAGAGGTCGGTGCCCTCATAAGCTGGACACATCAGGACACACAAACAAAAGAGAAATAAAGAAGAAGTTAAATCCATGAGTTTAGAGAAACCTTGTTTCTGGCCACAAGATGGTGCTGTGAGAGAAGAATTAACCAAATTTAACCAGTACCTGAAAATAGAACGCCCTAGGTTTAGACATATAGCACATTAAGAAATGTGAAATACCACTAGCTAGTTCAAGAGATTTCTATTTAGAGAGACTCAATTCAGTCTTAATATCTAAAGAAACAAACGCAGCAGTCGACAATAAAGACACTGATGTCTTCTGTCCTCAGCCTGTGTGATGTAGACATGGGATCCATTCACACTGCAGCTCATTCTACATTCAGATTTAGTTTCAGGCATCAGATTTTAAAAAGATGATTCAATTTATTCCAAAGAAGTTTAAAAAAAACAATCCACTGGACCATCCAATATCTGACACGCTTCTCCCAATTGGGGTCGCAAGGGGTGCTGGTGCCTATCTCCAGCAGTCAATGGGCGAGAGGCGGGGTCCACCCTGGACAGGTCGCCAGTCCATCACAGAGACAAACAGCCATTCTCGCACACACCTAAGGAGAATCTAGAGAAGCTAATTAACCGAACAGTCATGTTTTTGGACTGTGGGAGGAAGCTGGAGTACCCAGAGAGAACCCACGCATGCTCAGGGAGAACATGCAAACTTCATGCAGAAAGACTTTTTGAATTTTTAAGATGTTTTGCTTCCCATCTACGAAGCTTTTTCAATTCAAAAAGTCTGGATTAATATTTAGGTTCCAGGCTTTATAGAATGGCCCAAACAAAGCCTTGTTATGGCTCAGAAAACTCCCCATTAGACTCTTAGACTCCTTAGACTCCCCATTATTAAGGGGTAGACCTGTTTTTCCGGTTCAATTTGCATGTTTTGTAGGCCTTTTGTTTGGGCCACCCTATAAGCTGGAAACCCAATGCTACTCCAGACATTCTGAATGGAGAAAGCTTCCTGGATGCCAGAGAGCAGACAACATGTTCTGTACGCTGAATACTGCATCGTTAAACATTCTCTCGTGTTTAGAAAATATAAAACCATTTAAACTGTGCTGTTTTTGAATTGACAGTAATTGTTTGATTTTGTCAGATGCTTGTTAGCAGTCAGCCCATACATTTGATGCATCTTCTGCTTCCTGTTGCAGATGAACTAGGAAGAGTAATTCAGCGTTCACACCGGGCGCATCAAAGCATCTGCAAAGTCTATGGGGGACAGCATCAGGTCCAGCAGGGCGTCCAAGTGTTCTGGCATCCGAGCATCCAGAGCGTCAAAGCAACTGGACCAGCGTTTGATGCAGCATCCAAATTTCTGCGTTTACATGTTTTTTGAGAATAAAAACGCCTCTGGCGTGAACGCATGCATAACTGTCTTGCCCAAGAAGTTCAGGATAATCTCTGGATCCAACATATTTCTCTTCTCTACCACAACAAAAGCAATTGAACAACTAGAATACCACAAATATAAACATGGGAAAAGATTGAGGCTGATTTAGATGTTGAGGTATGGCTAGGGCTAACCTTTGATGATCTAAATAATGAAACTAACCAAAGACAATCAGGAGCCACTCATAGGCAGCTGAATGTGTGGGAAACCCGACTAATAAATAGACATGATAAACCAAAAATGGCAGGACGTGTTAAAACATAACTTACAAGAAGAACACTGAAAACTATCCAAATGAAAGGTAAAACCAAACACCTCATGATTGATTTAGACGTCACTTTGCTGTTATTAAAAAGAAGAGGCTCTGCTGATTGTCACCATAGAATCCACCAGTCAGTGTGCTGCTTTACCTGGCTGCCTGAAAACCCACTGCTCCTCTGCATCCAGATGGACTCCTCCTGCCCTGGCAGGATCTGAAGGGAAGAACGCATGACCCACTGCACCGCCTGCTCCATCGAAGGGATAGCTGTCACCATGGTGACCGTGGAGGAAGTCTACCTGCAGGTCAGCTGCCTCTGGGTTGCCCACCTGGATGCAGAAGAAAGAAAATGTCAATGCCTGTAAGTGCAGCACCTCCCCGGCACATTTGGACTCATAGCTTCCACAAAAAGATGAACTTAGTTGTGCTCCATTTTATTACGTTTGCAGGACTCAATTCAGTTTATTCATTTAGCGTCACAACACCTGTCATCTCTGGTCCTTTTATAGAGACAATTCTGTTGGGATCTGGAGGTCTGTCCACTTTCTCCACCAGAGGGCGTACTAGATCTCCTGGAGCCGGAGCTGATTGCAACCACCTGTCGCTCATCTGCTCATCAGGAGATCTCTATTTAAGGAGGCAGAGGACTTCTCTCCAGTGCCAGAGTGTTTGCCAGTTACGATTGAACCTGTCTGAAACCTGAAACCCAGAAGAGTATCTCTGCCGGTAATCTGCCTGTCTGTTCTCTGAAGAACCCTGGAAAACTATTCCTGTCAAAGACCTGCCTGCCCGCTCTCTGAAGAAACCGGAAGGGAAACTCAAATTGGTAATCTGCCAACACTCACACCAAACTCTGCCTCCGCCTAGCCCTCAGCCTGCCGACAGCCTCTGGACCGTCAAGGTTCCCCCCTCAGCCGCTCAGCTCAACTCCTGTACAGGTACAGACCTGCACACTCTCATCCTGCAAATTACCTGGATCTCCACTAACTCCTCTGTCCCCCTCTGCAGTGAACCCACTCGTGACCAGACTGTGTGCATTTCAGAATCCACTCGTGACCAGACGAGTCCCCCTTGGGATCTGTTTATTAATTGTATTCCAACTTCTAAATAAACCTTTGAACTTTAATCCTGTCTCGGAGTGTTCTGCATGTGGGTTAGGCACCTGAAGCCAAACATGACAAATTCAACAAGATCGTCAGATTGTTTTCTATCTAAGGAAAACCAGCTGATTGTATCAACTCATTGACTCTTCAGCAATCCCTCACACTAACTCCTGCCCTGATGGGGTATAGATCATTGTTTTAGTAAAGCAACAGGTGCTGGACCTTACAGCAAAGAAAGAGGGCTTTCCCCGCATCTCCCATCCAACAGCAGGAGAGAACAGAGAGAGAATAGATCTACCCGCTGTCTTTTGTAACCTTTCGCCACAAAGAAAGCACCAATCACCTAGGCAGTCCAGGCCATGTTTGGACTCCCATTTTTACCATTCGTCTAAAGAACACAGCTCGTCAAAGCTTTTGAAGCTGTCTGAACGAAGCCATGCATTATACTTCAGATGGCCGCTCACACTGAGCCTGGTTCTGCTGGAGGTTTCTTCCTGTTCAAAGGGAGTTTTTCCTCTCCACTGTCACTACAAGCATGCCTACTGTGAGGGATTGCTGAAGAGACTATGAGTCGACGCAATCAGTTGGTTTTTAGATAGAAAACTTTAAATCAATCTGACTGGATGATCTGGTTAATCTGGAATCTTTACAGAGACCTGAGATGACATGATGTGAATTGGACCTTGTCAGGGTTTGGTGTACTGCTTACTCTCTTCCACAGGTGGTTGTTGCTGACAGGTGGGCGTGGCCCCGCACCTGCGGCTCGCTGAGGCTGCTCAGCTGAGCCTAAGAGGAGCATTTAGTCTGCTGAAGGACGCCAGCGTTAAACCGTTGTGGTACGCCTAGGCCTCCGTCCAGTCCACAGATCTCTGTAACCTGATGTTCTTGATTCCTGATTCCAACCCGTCTCCTTCATTTCGCTGAGCTCTGGATCGCTCACCCGCCCGTCTCCGTGCTTTGAGGACTGGCCTCTGAATCCCTGCTACTCATATTCTGCTCTGGCATTCCCCTCGCGCCCCCTCGATACTACCGAGTTGGACAATAGACCCCTATCCTGGATTCACACTGGTTCCTTCAGCTGCTCCTCTGACCTGCCTCCGCTGTGGGGCTGCTCGGGCCCCGTCTAAGTCCCACCTGTCACTCAGCCACCTCCTCCCATTGGAAAGCTGTAAGTACTGAACTTGTTCCTCTATTCACCTTCCTCCGGATAGGTTATCTGTACCTGGCAGTAAGCAGAGCACCAACAGCGTAGGTTTCTTTTGCTTTTTCTAGTTTTAATCAGTTTCCTCTTTCCTCCCGCAGATCCCCGAACACTGATGCCTGCGGCTCCTGTACTGAACTGACCTTATTTCTGTGTAGTCAAATAAACATCTTAAAATGCTCCTGTTGTCCTGTGTCTACATGTGGGCCAAACATCTGAGCTATAGAAATAAACTGAACAGAAGTAACTGGAATTAAAGACTGAGCTCAATTTGTGGAAGTGGCAACTAGAAGTGGCACTCTAGACCAGTGGTTCCCAACCTTTTTTAGACTTATGTACCCCTTTGGACATTTTTTCTAACAATGACTACCCCCCTCAGTCAGAATGGCTGATGACTGCCCAACATTGGAACTCACAATAACTGTTCATAAAATGAGCATTTAATTCTTACCATCTCAAATATAAAACAATATAAATATGATGTCTGGAAGCTAGGAAGGAATCAAAATATATACAAAATCAAATCATATTATAAATCTGCCTCTATAAACCTGGAGCTCTTCTGAGCAACTCAACTATAGTTGCATATAAACTTGATCATTGGAAACAAAAACTAAACAAAATTTATTTTAGTCAGACTGACTCCATTTATTTTATATTGATTTCAACATTCATGAGATCTGAGCTGCTTCAAATAAATCAGATGTGGAAAAACAGCTGATCCCAGACTGTTCTCAGACTGGATGTAGGGAACAGACTGGATGTAGGGAAACAGCATGGGATTAGACAGCATGGGATTAAATTCCACTGTTATGCTGATGATACCCAGCTATATCTGTCTATAAATTCAGATGAAGCTAACCCATTACATAGATTACAGGCATGTCTTGAAGACATAAAAACCTGGATGACTCTTAACTTTCTGCTTCTGAATGCAGACAAAACAGAAGTTATAGTCTTTGGACCAGAGTCTCTGGAAAAGAAACTGATTAGCCAGTCACTTCATTTGGATGGGATTAAACTGATTTCAGATAATAAAGTAAAAAATCTTGGTGTTGTTTTTGATCAGGACCTGTCATTTAAATCCCACATCAAAGAGGTTTCTAGAATTTCCTTCTTTCATCTGAGGAACATTGCAAAAATGAGAAATCTCCTGTCCAGGGGTGATGCTGAGAAACTAGTCCATGCATTTGTTACTTCAAGGCTGGACTATTGTAATTCTTTACTATCAGGAAGTCCACAAACTCTAGTTAAAAGCCTTCAGCTGATCCAAAATGCTGCAGCCAGAGTTCTAATGAAAATGAAAAAGAGAGATCATATCTCTCCTATCCTGGCTTCTCTTCATTGGCTTCCTGTTAAATCAAGAATAGAATTTAAAATCCTCCTTCTCACATATAAAGCCTTAAATGGCCAAGCTCCATCTTATATCAGAGATCTGATTGTTCCTTATGTTCCTAACAGAGCAGTTCGCTCTCAATCTGCAGGTTTACTAGTGGTTCCTAGAATTTCTAAAAGTAGAATGGGAGGCAGATCTTTTAGTTATCAGGCTCCTCTCCTGTGGAACCAACTACCAGTTTTAGTCCGTGAGGCAGACACCCTGTCTACTTTTAAGGCTAGGCTTAAAACTTTCCTTTTTGATAACACTTATAGTTAGGGTGGCTCAGGTTATCCTGAGCTATCTCTATAGTTATGCTGCTATAGGCTTAGACTGCTGGAGGACATAGGGACCCCTTTTTCATCATTCTGCTTCATTCTATCTCTATTCTCCCACTCTGCAGAATCTGTTAGTTCAATCTCTAACCTTCTGCTCTCTCTGCTTTTCCTCAGAGTAGCTTTGCCTCGTCTGTTCCTGTTTGGCTGTGACGTCATCCTGGAAAGAAACATCAGCTGTGCTGCTTCTATCAACACCCTTGTTTATAGATGTTGGAGATCGGCCTGTTTTCCAGTGTAGTCCTGTTTCTCTGACCGTGACTGAGTGGATGTGCTCTCTTCGTCCTCTGGCATGGGAGCTGCCTTGGAGCTCGTCTGCCTGGCTGTGTGTTTCCTGGACGGGGCCGCCTTTTACAGCTGCTTTTTGTATCTCTGCTATTGTCTCATTGAACCCCAGTCGGCCTCGGCAGATGGCTGCTCACACTGAGCCTGGTTCTGCTGGAGGTTTCTTCCTGTTAAAAGGGAGTTTTTCCTCTCCACTGTCGCTACAAGCTTGCTTAGTGTGAGGGATTGTATTTGAGTCAATGAGTCAATGCAATCAACTGGTTTTCCTTAGATAGAAAACTTTGTATCAATTTGACTGTATGATCTGGTAGAACTGTAAAGTGCCTTGAGATGACATGTGTTGTGAATTTGGCGCTATATAAATAAACTGAATTGAACTGAATTGAATTGAATTGAAACAGACTGGATGTAGGGAACAGACTGGATGTAGGGAACAGACTGGATGTAGGGAACAGTCTGGATTTAGGGAACAGACTGGATGTAGGTAACAGATTGGATGTAGGGAACAGACTGGATGTAGGGAACAGACTAGATGTAGGGAACAGTCTGGATTTAGGGAATAGACTGGATGTAGGGAACAGTCTGGATGTAGGTAACAGATTGGATGTAGGGAACAGACTGGATGTAGGGAACAGAATGGATGTAGTGAACAGTCTGGATGTAGGGAACAGACTGGATGTAGGGAACAGACTGGATGTAGAGAACAGTCTGGATGTAGAGAACAGTCTGGATTTAGGGAACAGACTGGATGTAGGGAACAGTCTGGATGTAGGGAACAGGCTGGATGTAGGGAACAGTCTGGATGTAGGGAACAGACTGGATGGGGGGAACAGACTGGATGGAGGGAACAGTCTGGATGTAGGGAACAGTCTGGATGTAGAGAACAGTCTGGATTTAGGGAACAGACTGGATGTAGGGAACAGTCTGGATGTAGGGAACAGACTGGATGTAGGGAACAGTCTGGATGTAGGGAACAGACTGGATGTAGGGAACAGTCTGGATGGAGGGAACAGACTGGATGTAGGGAACAGTCTGGATGTAGGGAACAGTCTGGATTTAGGGAACAGTCTGGATGTAGGGAACAGACTGGATGTAGGGAACAGTCTGGATGGAGGGAACAGACTGGATGTAGGGAACAGTCTGGATGTAGGGAACAGACTGGATGGAGGGAACAGACTGGATGTAGGGAACAGTCTGGATGTAGGGAACAGACTGGATGTAGGGAACAGTCTGGATGGAGGGAACAGACTGGATGTAGGGAACAGTCTGGATGTAGGGAACAGACTGGATGGAGGGAACAGACTGGATGGAGGGAACAGTCTGGATGTAGGGAACAGTCTGGATGGAGGGAACAGACTGGATGGAGGGAACAGACTGGATGGAGGGAACAGACTGGATGGAGGGAACAGTCTGGATGTAGGGAACAGTCTGGATGGAGGGAACAGACTGGATGTAGGGAACAGTCTGGATGTAGGGAACAGTCTGGATGGAGGGAACAGTCTGGATGTAGGGAACAGACTGGATGTAGAGAACAGACTGGATGTAGACAAAACTAAACAGATCCCAGCCCTATTTTATTTTACTACCTAAGAAATAAAATATTTTTATGTACCACTTGTAATTCAATGATGGACCACTAGGGGTATGCTTACCCCCAGTTGGGATCACTGCTCTGGGTCGCAGCAGGCGGCACCTGCAGTGGCCCAGGATGCCACAAGGTGTCATGAAGGTGCTTGTCGCACTGATGTTGCGGTTTTGGTAAAAGAGTTTGTCATACATGACTGATAATCCATAATTACTTTAAAATAATCCCATTTAGTTGATATTTCCTGTGGTACTTTGTCCAGCTGTCTGCCATAGGCTGCCAGAGGATGCCACAGGGTGGGACACCCTTTCACATATCTAAAATAACAATTATTGATTAAGAAAAATGGTTTAATTCAGGGCATTTAATTCAGCAGGACAGAAAACAATCTTACAAATAAAGGAAAAAAATGACTGAACGTAAATATTGCATTAAAATACAGGTGCTGGTCATAAAATTAGAATATCATGAAAAAGTAGATTGATTTCAGTAATTCCATTTAAAAAGTGAAACTTGTATATTATATTCATACATTACATACAAACTCATATATTTCAGATGTTTATTTTGTTTAATTTTGATGATTACAAATGACAACAAATGAAAATCTCAAATTCATCATATCAGAAAATTAGAATATTGTGAAAAGGTTCAAAATTGATGGCCCCTGGTTCCACACTCTAATCAGCTAATTAACTCAAACCACCTGCAAAAGCCTTTAAATGGTCTTTCAGTCTAGTTCTATAGGCTACACAATCATGGGGAAGACTGCTGACTTGACAGTTGTCCAAAAGACGACCATCGACACCTTGCACAAGGAGGGCAAGACACAAAAGGTCATCGCTAAAGAGGCTGGCTGTTCACAGAGCTCAGTGTCCAAGCACATTAATAGAGAGGTGAAGGGAAGGAAAAGATGTGGTCGAAAAAAGTGTACAAGCAAGAGAGATAACCGCACCCTGGAGAGGATTGTGAAACAAAACCCCTTAAAAAATGTGGGGGAGATTCACAAAGAGTGGACTGCAGCTGGAGTGAGTGCTTCAAGAACCACCACACACAGACGTATGAAAGACATGGGTTTCTGCTGTCGCATTCCTTGTGTCAAGCCACTCTTGAACCACAGACAGCGTCAGAAGCGTCTTGCCTGGGCTAAAGAGAAACAGGACTGGACTGCTGGTGAGTGGTCCAAAGTCATGTTCTCTGATGAAAGTAAATTTTGCATTTCCTTTGGAAATCAAGGTCCCAGAGTCTGGAGGAAAAGAAGAGAGGCACTTCATCCACGTTGCTTGAAGTCCAGTGTAAAGTTTCCACAGTCAGTGATGGTTTGGGGTGCCATGTCATCTGCTGGTGTTGGTCCATTGTGTTTTCTGAGGTCCAGGGTCAACGCAGCCACATACCAGGAAGTTTTAGAGCACTTCATGCTTCCTGCAGCTGACCAACTTTTTGGAGATGCAGATTTCATTTTCCAACAGGACTTGGCACCTGCACACAGTGCCAAAGCTACCAGTACCTGGTTGAAGGACCATGGTATCCCTGTTCTTAATTGGCCAGAAAACTCTCCTGACCTTAACCCCATAGAAAATCTATGGGGTATTGTGAAGAAGAAGATGCAATACACCAGACCCAACAATTCAGAAGAGCTAAAAGCCACTATTAGAGCAACCTGGGCTATCATAACACCTGAGCAGTGCCACAGACTGATCGACTCCATGCCACGCCGCATTGCTGCAGTAATACAGGCCAAAGGAGGCCCAACTAAATACTGAGTGCTGTACATGCTCATACTTTTCATGTTCATACTTTTCAGTTGGCCAACATTTCTATAAATCCTTTGTTTTTATTGGTCTTCAGTAATATTCTAATTTTCTGATATGATGAATTTGAGATTTTCATTTGTTGTCATTTGTAATCATCAAAATTAAACAAAATAAACATCTGAAATATATGAGTTTGTATGTAATGTATGAATATAATATACAAGTTTCACTTTTTAAATGGAGTTACTGAAATCAATCTACTTTTTCATGATATTCTAATTTTATGACCAGCACCTGTAGAATATCAAAAGAGCCTACAAAGAGCCTACAACCTGTGGGGGTTTGGGGAAAGTGATATATTGTTTGGTCTGTTTGTAAAAGTGTAATATACTATTTTGTATTATCATTATTATTCACTTAATAATTATTATTATCACTTTGATCTTTATGGCTTTGACCCTCTTCTTCCTTTAATGGCCATTTTAAGATTCCTGTAGGGCAGGGGTGTCAAACCGGTTCCAGAAAGGGCCGTGTGGCTGCAGGTCTTCTTTCCAACTAAGCAATATCACACTAGACTCCATTCATATCATCAAGTCATCGTGTTCAGATTGGACTCACTTGATGAGGTGACTGGAGTCTGGTGTGATATTGCTTGGTTGGAAAAAAGACCTGCAGCCACACGGCCCTTTCTGGAACCGGTTTGACACCTGTGCTGTAGGGCATGCAATCTACTCATTTTAATCAGCAGAATGAAATTGCTTTGCATGTTTTAACATCGGTCAAAAGTCTTTGCAGGTCACCTGCAACATTTATTGCATTTATTTATTTCTAAAAGTCCGCATGCACAGTTTAGCAGCTGTCATTTGAAATGACTGAAGAACAGGCCCTAAGAGTACGCCGTCTGACAGGGTATGAGATGTATACATATATAGGACTTTGCTTTTCATTTTGGTCAGAAGGAGGTCCTGTTTCTGTACCCACCTCATGGAATTCCAGAGGCGTAGGTTCTGCCCAGACTCTTAATGCGTAGAAGACCAGGGCACGAATCGTCTCCCTGGGCAGGTGAGAGGAGGAAGGGTAGGAGCGCAACCTAAGAAGCAGGAAAATACTTATAAATACAGGAACTATTTCCTGAGTTCGTGTCTTTTATAAATGTTTGAATACATAACCACTTCCTGCATGAACTTCCAGCCACAGTCTCTGATCTCCACAAATCATCCAGAATCATTTATATAATTTCTGCGTGTGTCCCTTAAAAAATACTTTACTAGTACTACAATTTAGTAATACATAGTGCAAAACTTAATAATACTAACATTTGGTAGTAATAAAATACATACTTAGTATTACTAAGAGTATTCTTTATGTTCCATCCTTTAAAGTACTCTCATGTAGTTCCATAATAATTTTTTTAAAAAGCATCTGTGTCTAATATCAGAGTCTAGAAGTAGCTCTATGTTTTCCTCCTAATGAAGCAACAATCACAGAGTTTAGAGAAGCTGAATTTTACGGCTCTGCTTTTGCCGAACTTTACGGCTGTGCTGAAGCCGAACTTTACGGCTGTGCTGAAGCCGAACTTTACGGCTCTGCTGTCCCTGAACTTTACGGCTCTGCTGTCGCCGAACTTTACGGCTGTGCTGAAGCCGAACTTTACAGCTCTGCTGTCCCTGAACTTTACAGCTCTGCTGTCGCCGAACTTTATGGCTCTTCTGAAGCCAAACATTTCGGCTCTGCTGTCCCTGAACTTTACGGCTCTGCTGTCGCTGAACTTTATGGCTCTTCTGAAGCCAAACATTTCGGCTCTGCTGTCTCTGAACTTCACGGCTCTGCTGTCGCTGAACTTTATGGCTCTTCTTTTTTTTTTTTTTTTTTTATTGTGGAAGAAAAGCATAATAGTAATTTTACGGCTCTGCTGTCGCTGAACTTTACGGCTCTGCTGTCGCTGAACTTTACGGCTCTGCTGTTGCTGAACTTTACGGCTTTGCTGTTGCTGAACTTTACAGCTCTGCTGTTGCTGAACTTTACAACTCTGCTGTCGCTGAACTTTACGGCTCTGCTGTTGCTGAACTTTACGGCTCTGCTGTCGCTGAACTTTACGGCTCTGCTGTCGCTGAACTTTATGGCTCTTCTGAAGCCAAACATTTCGGCTCTGCTGTCCCTGAACTTTACGGCTCTGCTGTCGCCGAACTTTATGGCTCTTCTGAAGCCAAACATTTCGGCTCTGCTGTCCCTGAACTTTACGGCTCTGCTGTCACTGAACTTTATGGCTCTTCTGAAGCCAAACATTTCGGCTCTGCTGTCTCTGAACTTCACGGCTCTGCTGTCGCTGAACTTTATGGCTCTTCTTTTTTTTTTTTCTTTTTTTTTATTGTGGAAGAAAAGCATAATAGTAATTTTACGGCTCTGCTGTCGGCAAACTTTACGGCTATGTTGTCACCGAACTTTACGGCTCTGCTGTTGCTGAACTTTACGGCTCTGCTGTCGCTGAACTTTACGGCTCTGCTGTCGCTGAACTTTACGGCTCTGCTGTCGCTGAACTTTACGGCTCTGCTGTCGCTGAACTTTATGGCTCTTCTGAAGCCAAACATTTCGGCTCTGCTGTCCCTGAACTTTACGGCTCTGCTGTCGCTGAACTTTATGGCTCTTCTGAAGCCAAACATTTCGGCTCTGCTGTCTCTGAACTTCACGGCTCTGCCTTCGCTGAACTTTATGGCTCTTCTTTTTTTTTTTTTTTTTATTTATTGTGGAAGAAAAGCATAATAGTAATTTTACGGCTCTGCTGTCGCTGAACTTTACGGCTCTGCTGTTGCTGAACTTTACGGCTCTGCTGTCGCTGAACTTTACGGCTCTGCTGTCGCTGAACTTTATGGCTCTTCTGAAGCCAAACATTTCGGCTCTGCTGTCCCTGAACTTTACGGCTCTGCTGTCGCTGAACTTTATGGCTCTTCTGAAGCCAAACATTTCGGCTTTGCTGTCTCTGAACTTCACGGCTCTGCCTTCGCTGAACTTTATGGCTCTTCTTTTTTTTTTTTTTTTTTTTATTGTGGAAGAAAAGCATAATAGTAATTTTACGGCTCTGCTGTTGCTGAACTTTACGGCTCTGCTGTTGCTGAACTTTACGGCTCTGCTGTCGCTGAACTTTACGGCTCTGCTGTTGCTGAACTTTACGGCTTTGCTGTTGCTGAACTTTACAGCTCTGCTGTCGCTGAACTTTACGGCTCTGCTGTCGCTGAACTTTACGGCTCTGCTGTTGCTGAACTTTACGGCTCTGCTGTCGCTGAACTTTACGGCTCTGCTGTCGCTGAACTTTATGGCTCTTCTGAAGCCAAACATTTCGGCTCTGCTGTCCCTGAACTTTACGGCTCTGCTGTCGCGGAACTTTATGGCTCTTCTGAAGCCAAACATTTCGGCTCTGCTGTCTCTGAACTTCACAGGTCTGCCTTCGCTGAACTTTATGGCTCTTCTTTTTTTTTATTTTTTTATTTATTGTGGAAGAAAAGCATAATAGTAATTTTACGGCTCTGCTGTCGGCAAACTTTACGGCTATGTTGTCACCGAACTTTACGGCTCTGCTGTTGCTGAACTTTACGGCTCTGCTGTTGCTGAACTTTACGGCTTTGCTGTTGCTGAACTTTACGGCTCTGCTGTCGCTGAACTTTACGGCTTTGCTGTCGCTGAACTTTACGGCTCTGCTGTCGCTGAACTTTACGGCTCTGCTGTCGCTGAACTTTACGGCTCTGCTGTCGCTGAACTTTACGGCTCTGCTGTCGCTGAACTTTACAGCTCTGCTGTTGCTGAACTTTACGGCTCTGCTGTCATGCTGCAAAGGCAGACTGGTTCACTTTGTTCAGCAGGTAACCTGATAACCTGGACCAGCATCCAGTTCCTGGTCTGCAGACTGATGGAAAGTCATTATTTGCTGCTTAAACTTATGCAGACATTAAGCTCTGCTTTGCTCTGCATATTAAGGTGGTGCTCTGCTCTGCCTAGGTCTACACCTTTAGGTGGTGCTCTACTCTGCCTAGGTCTACACCTTTAGGTGGTGCTCTACTCTGCCTAGGTGTACACCTTTATGTGGTGCTCTACTCTGTCTAGGTCTATACATTTAGGTGGTGCTCTACTCTGCCTAGGTCTACACCTTTAGGTGGTGCTCTACTCTGCCTAGGTCTACACCTTTAGGTGGTGCTCTATTCTGCCTAGGTCTACACCTTTAGGTGGTGCTCTACTCTGCCTAGGTCTACACCTTTAGGTGGTGCTCTACTCTGCCTAGGTCTACACCTTTAGGTGGTGCTCTTTTCTGCCTAGGTCTACACCTTTAGGTGGTGCTCTACTGTCTAGGTCTGTGCTTAAGGGATTCCATACTCTATTACTTTTAGCTTTAATATAATCAGTGATTAACATCCATCAGTGATTAGCATCCATCAGTGATTAACATCCATCGGTGATTAGCATCAGCCTGCATTACTTTAAGCAGAAATGACAGACTCCATCAGACCTCCAGTTGATGTTGTGGTGGGACCATGTGGATGCTGCTCTCCTCTTCCTCCTGGTCCTCCTCCCCTGCTGTAGGCTCAGTAGCTTGGAGGCTCCATCTTGGTCAGGAAGGGAGCAGCGTGGACTGTTCATCAGGGTGAGTGTTTCCTCATCTAAACAGTCCAAGAACAGAAGATGGTTTGACATTCAAACCTGAAACTTCAGCAGCGGATCAAGCTTCAGCCCAGCAGCAGATGTTGTCCTTACAGTACCTAAAACTCCAGTGTCTTTGAGGCCAGCAAACATCTGCATGGTTTTAATGGCATCGGTGACGGCCGTCCAAGCCTGCAGCTGCCCAGTGGAGGGGTCTGATGGGGGCAGGTAGCCATACTTCATCAACCAGTCCTACAAAAAGAAAGGACCACCTCAAAGGACTGCTCTCCTTCGTCTCTTAACTTCAGTCTCGTTGTTTCCATGAAGCCTTTGGTATAAGTCCTCGTTGTCCTTGGTCACAGACTCATCAGCTCTCAGATCATAGCTCTCCATGGTTAGAGCAATAAAACTTTTACTGAACTTTTACTTTTACAGAATTATATTTTTAACAAGCATCAAACATAAAAAAAAATCAAACATTTCTTCTCTGTGTGGGGGAGTCTAACGGATCCTCAGATATATTTTCTGCGACAAAGCATCACTAGAGTCTAACAATCAGGGCATGAAATTGGCACGGGCATCCATCCATCCATCATCCATCCTACCATCCACCATCCATCCATCCATCATCTATCCATCCTACCATCCACCATCCATCCATCCATCATCTATCCATCCATCCATCCATCCACCATCCATCCATCCATCCATGAATCCATCCACCATCCATCCATCCATCCATGAATCCATCCACCATCCATCCATCCATCAATCCATCCATCCATTCATCCATCATCCATCCATCCATCCATGAATCCATCCACCATCCATCCATCCATCCATGAATCCATCCACCATCCATCCATCCATCATCCATCCATCCATCCATCCATCCATCCATCCATCCATCCATCCACCATCCATCCATCCATCCATGAATCCATCCACCATCCATCCATGAATCCATCCACCATCCATCCATCCATCCATGAATCCATCCACCATCCATCCATCCATCATCCATCCATCCATCCATCCATCCATCCATCCATCCATCCATGAATCCATCCACCATCCATCCATGAATCCATCCACCATCCATCCATCCATCCATGAATCCATCCACCATCCATCCATCCATCCATGAATCCATCCACCATCCATCCATCCATCAATCCATCCATCCATTCATCCATCATCCATCCATCCATCCATGAATCCATCCACCATCCATCCATCCATCCATGAATCCATCCACCATCCATCCATCCATCATCCATCCATCCATCCATCCATCCATCCACCATCCATCCATCCATCCATGAATCCATCCACCATCCATCCATCCATCCATCCATCATCCATCCAGATGCCAAATGCAGGTAACTGTTGTGATAGGTGGATGGAGCTGTCAATCTAGCGGCCATGTTGGTGGGTGGCCAATAAGACTACAAACACAACACTGAGCAGGTGTAGTGTTAGTGACCAGTTCCGTAGTCTAATGTTCCTTATCTTCTATTGGATGTTTAGATATGGTGTGAAGTTCCTATGAGATTGTTAAGTTCTGTTTTTGCAACCTATTTTTTGACACAATTGATAATTTCCTGGTGCAATAAAAAAAACAAATACTGCCCATACCTTGTGTTTGGCTTGGTAGATCTCGGCATGACATCAACTTCAAAAGTAGATCTTGGTTTGAAAAAGGTTGGGCAAGACTAGTGAATTTACAATATCATGTATATGACTCAACACAACCAACTATCGCCTTATCATTGGATGCAGCTAAAGCATTTGACTGTGTAGAATGGGAGTTCCTTTTTAAGATTCTGGGAAAATTTGGCTTTGGGAGCAATTTCATCAAATGGATAAAAACCTTATATGATAAGCCCTCTGCTTGTGTATTAACTAACGGTCTCATATCTAGTCTATTTCAGTTACAAAGGTCAACGAGACATGGCTGCCCGCTTAGCCCCGGCTTATTTGTGATTGCAATTGAACCTCTGGCTCAAAAAATTCGCTATCATACAGCCATACATGGTATTAATGTCGGCAACATTCATCACAAGCTTCTTCTGTACGCAGATGATATGTTGGTCCTTCTAACTAAACCTGAAGAATCTGTTCCCATTTTATTAGATTGTATTGAAGATTTCACATTATTGTCTGGATACAAAGTAAATTGGGAAAAGTCTGAAGCTATGCCCATGTCTGGACACTGCCCCTCCTCTCTATATAAAAACTGGAGATTCTGTTGGTCTTCCAAAAGTATTAAATATTTGGGCATACAGATCACCTCTGATTATAACAATATGGTTAAAATGAATACCGGCCCCTTGATTGGAAAAATGAGAACTGACTTTGGTAGATGGTCTAAAATTCACTTGTCCCTGTGGGGAAAGATTAACTCTATTAGGATGATGACAGCCCCAGTTGTTTTCTATCTCCTCCGTAATATTCCTCTGCATATTCAAGACTCTTTTTTCAAAGAGCTAAATACCTTAATATTGGATTTTCTATGGGGTAAATCCCATCACCGTCTGAGTCTTAAAAAGTTACAAGCGAGCCCTGACAGGGGTGGTTTTTCCTTACCTAATTTTAAATGGTATTATTGGGCTTTGCAGGCAAAACAACTTAGAGTTTGGTTACCCACTTTCAATTCCTCTGATAAACCTTCCTGGTCTCAGCTGGAGTCTGATGCGAATGGAGGTGAATCTCCATGGGCAACTTTATTAGGTGTCAAAACAAAAATTCATAGAGATCACCCTATTATTACGGCGGACAAATTAATTTGGAATAAATTACACAGAGTAGGTCGCTGGGATTTCATTAAGTCATCATTAGCTCCTTTATGGAATAATAACAAAATTCTTATTGGGGGAAAATCAGTCAACTGGCCACAGTGGTTTGAGGTGGGAATCTCCTGTGTATTCCATTTGTTTGATGCCAAAACCAAAAATTATCTGAGCTTCGATGAGGTTGTTGATATATATAATTTGCCTCGCAATCAATTTTGGAGATATGTCCAACTACGTAGTTCACTGTCTAAATGGCTGGGAACCCCTCTGAGATGCCCTTCGGGCAGCCCTGTAGAAATCTTGTTTTCCAAGCTGGCCAATGGCAAAGGTATTACCTCTAATATATACAAGATGTTACTTATTCAAATGGGCGATCCATTATCAAAGGTTAAAAAACACTGGACTGAAGACATGGCCTTAGACATCTCTGAGGATGATTGGCACTCATGTTTACAAAATGTAAACACAATGTATAAAGAAAAGAGTAACAAGTTTATTCAATTAAAAATAATTCACAGATGGCACAGAACCCCTCAACAACTTCATAAATGGAACCTGATTCCCAAAGACACCTGCTGGAGGTGCAACAAAGAGGGAGCATCTATTCTACATATTCTTTGGACCTGCCCTGCTCTTCAAGATTGGTGGAAAAATATTATGGAAGTAATTTTTGAAGTACTGGAAAGAAGGTTTAATATCACTGCCAAGCTCGCAGTTTTATAACCTGACAACAGCCAGATGCATGTCTCGCTCCGCCTAGCTCCACTCACATACATCTGGGAACCCGCCATAGGAATTGCCTTTACTGAAGGCTGGGCCTTATCAAAACTCCTTGCATATGATTGGAGAAGCCACTTGTCTGTCATCTTTATTGACGTGCTATTTCAACCACTCACACCGAAGCTAACCCGTGACGCTGTGAGAGGAGGAGCCATTTGGTAGATCAAGCTCTTGCCAAATCCGGTCAGGAGAAGGCGAAAACATCGTTTCCACCAACAAAAGCCTTCAAAGCCGTTCTCTGATGTTCTTTTAATGAAACAATATCAGATAGATTGGACAACACAGAAGAAATAGCAGCATCAATGCTAACGCTTGCTTCCTCAATGCGAGCCGCCATTGTTGTTGGAATCTCACGGTCGCTTCTCCACTCCAGGACACACCCGCCCTGCGTCCTGATTGGACAGACCATAAATTCAGTTGGGGAAATCACTCTCAATGAGGGGGTTCCCAGATGTATGTGAGTGGAGCTGGGCGGAGCGAGACATGCATCTGGCTGTTGTCAGGTTAGCAGTTTTAGGCTCCACAGCAGAACTCCCGGACTCATATTTCTCACTTTTTGACAAGAGGTGGCTGGTTCTGGCTCTGACCACAGCAAAAAGGATCCTGTTAAGATACTGGATGAAAAAGAACCCTCCTCCTTATTATGAATGGCTGACGACTATGGTTAAACTGGCTTCTTATGAGAAAGTGACATACAGTCTTCTAGGTAAAAGGCATCAGTATGATAGTACATGGTCTGCCTTTCTCAACTGGCTAACGGTAAAGTAAATTTGTAAAGGTCGGTGTGGCATAAAATATCTGTTGTATGTTTTACAAAACAAAAAACTCAATAAAATTTACATGAGAAAAAGGTTGGGCACCCCTGATCTACAGCCTCCGCTGTGGCTCCCGTCCGCTCCGCTCTGAGTTCCTTGGAGATCGTAGAGGGCATGCGCGAGATGATTAAATTAAATTCAAAGCAGCAAAACATGCGGAAATGAACCAGGGTTTCCTCGGATCATTCAAAATAATTACAATTCGTTTTTTTTGTTATTAAGGCCTTAATTGGCACTAAAATTTATTAAATATGTTTATCGTGGCTTTTTTTATTATCTTTAATAAAAAATGTTTATAAAAACAATTTTGTCAGATATATTATATCCCAATTAATTTGCGTGGAACTGATCATATAGCCGTACATTCGGAAAGGAAGCTCGAGGTGGAGAAAAACCTAGAGAATATATATATACGTATATATACACTACCGTTCAAAGGTTTGAGGTCACCCAAACAATTTTGTGTTTTCCTGAAAAGTCACACTTATTCACCACCATACATTGTAAAATGAATAGAAAATAGAGTCAAGACATTGACAAGGTTAGAAATAATTATTTGTATTTGAAATAAGATTTCTTTTACATCAAACTTTGCTTTCATCAAAGAATCCTCCAGTCTCAGATATGGCTTTTTCTTTGCCACTCTGCCCTGAAGCCCAGAATCCCGCAGCCGCCTCTTCACTGTAGATGTTGACACTGGTGTTTTGCGGAAGATGCCAGTTAGGGACCTGTGAGGCGTCTGTTTCTCAAACTAGAGACTCTAATGTACTTATCTTCTTGCTCAGTTGTGCAACGCGGCCTCCCACTTCTTTTTCTACTCTGGTTACAGCCTGTTTGTGCTGTCCTCTAAAGGGAGTAGGAC